TAATACTCACAAGCCTATTATTATTACTTCTTGAAAACTAAACAGCCTGTTCTGTTAGCATTTTTTTGTTTTTATTTTTTTCTTTTTTTTAATTTGGGGGGGAAACAACAAAATACGACATACACATATTACGCTCTTCTATGACACTATTTGGCATAGGAGCATCATCTCCTATGAACAAATATTGTTGTATGTGTTGTGCGCATCATAGGGCGAGTTTAGCGAAGCGCCCATTATTGGACGGCCAAAGCAGTGAATTTGAGTAGTAAGCGGACAAAGTTGACTCGCCAATATTGTCATAGGAAGAATCTTCAGATGGACAAATAATAGATGTCATAGAGAGCTATATGCGTGATGTCGTATTTGTCATAAGATACAAGCCCAGAACATGTTGAAACTATCACACGGCGTGGGGCTACTCTCGCGGAAAACGCTAGGGTAGAGACTAGGTCGCCGGTGTCTAGTTATGTTTTCCTGTTTTGTTTGCGAAAAGAAACTGCCGTGCTCGTGTTTTGTTCGATGCTACGTTGCTTGTTATCTGCTCACGATGCCACGCGTGATGTTGTTCCTGGCTGCAAAGAGCTGTGTTTTTACGCTGCTGCCCTGCTGCTGTGTCGTTAGATATTGCCTGCTGCGTTGCATGCTGTTGTTATCATTATTAATTGTTGCGTATTTTTAATATTTTTATTTTTTTCATTATGCCTATTTAGTGCAGTATTGCCATTGTGGTTTGTTAGGGTCTACATCTGTAGCTATTGAGCATTCTCTACTCTGTAGGGTTTAAATGACTATTAAGAAGAGATTCCCTTAAACCCTGATACATCACGTAGGATAGGCCTCCTTATGGACCTCTTGCAGCGATGTAGGTTTACTTCGTTCGGTCGTCGCCATTCGCTTCGCAAATCGTTGCCACATACACTTGGGCCGTTTTTCAATAATGAAATTATAGTATAAGAAGCCACAAAATTAATTGGGGGGCCGACAGAGAGTCCGTCGCCATTTTGGGACTTCCGCCTAGCCAATACGGAGTCGCGTTTAAGTATTTACCGTCAATTTTAGCTATCGAAACGGACCATATGCAGTGTACCCGAGAGCTAATAATACCAGAGGTATTGTTAACTCTTGATCGACCAGCGGTTTAATAATAACAATTTGCTCAATTATTGGACCCACTAGAATTTTGGACGCATGCGACCAGTGATCGAATGCCTGTGTCCATCACCACGAAATCACGTTTAATCGTCCCGGCGCGGAAGTTTAAAGCCGACGGGAACCCGAAAATCCACGCGCGTTTTAAATTTTAATCGTTGCAATTGCCCCTATAACGTTTCTCTTCGAGAGGGAAATTAAAACACGGAATTTGCCGCGTGACATGATGAGTGAGCAGTACGCCCCCGCGCTTTCGTCTGTCACGAATCTGTGTCCTTCCACTCACCGCCACCTTCTCAGAGAGACAAAAGCAGCCTGAGGGAGGATTAATCCCCAATAGAGCTATACAAAACCGTTCGATAACGACATGATAAAAGGTTGCGAGTAATTAAATTGAACTGATTAATTGATCTTGGAGATGTCAGTTACCGGCACTCGCTGAGCTTGCCACGATTTTTTACCTTGACCCGCTCATTTCGGTAGACATTACTCGGGGCGGGGGGCTGTTACGCGGAACTAACCGTCTTTTAAAATAAACCTACTCTTGAGGAAGTCCTTTATACAATTTTAATGCTTTATAAACTCGACTGACTTATCATACCGAGTGAATTAAAGTTAAAATGCTGAAATCGTTAAATTACGTCCGTTTTTCCTCAGACTAAATAACGTCCTCCCTGCTGGCAGGTCTTTACCTCTGTCACAGCTCAGCCCCTACCTCTGTCACACCTTCGCCCCGACCTCTGTCACAGCTCAGCCCCTACCTCTGTCACACCTCTGTCCCAGCTCAGCCCCTACCTCTGTTACACCTCTGTCTTTATCTCTGTCCCAGCTCAGCCCCCACCTATGTACCACCTCAGCCCCTACCTCTGTCACAGCTAAGCCCCTACCTCTGTCACAGCTAAGCCTCTACCTCTGTCACAGCTCAGCCTCTACCTCTGTCACAGCTCAGCCCCTACCTTTGTCACAGCTCAGCCCCTACCTATGTAACACCTCAGTCCCTACACCCCACCTGTGTAACACCTCTGTCTTTACCTCGGTCACACCTCTGCCCCAAACATCTGTCACACCTGAGCACCTACCTCTGTAACACCTCAGCCCCTGTCTCGCTCACACCCCAGTCTCTACCTATTAAACCACAGCGTTTACCTCTTTCTCACACAACCTCTAACTATATTTATACTATATGATGTTCACACCTATATGTATATTTGCTTTCCTGCTGCTCCCCTCGCTGTGTGTCTCGCTCTCCTCTCCCTCTCTCTCTCTCTCTCTCTCTCTCTCTCTCTCTCTCTCTCTCTCTCTCTCTCTCTCTCTCTGGTAAGAGCTGCGAGCAGGGAGGACTGTTATTTATCGGGTGTAGTGCCTGGTAAGAGCTGCCAGCAGGGAGGACTGTTATTTATCGGGTGTAATGCCTGGTAAGAGCTGCCAGCAGGGAAAACTGTTATTTATATGAGGAAAAAGGACGTAATTTAACGAATTTCACATTTTAACTTTATTCACTCGGATTGATAAGTCATCGGAGTTTAACATTAAATTTATAAAGGACTTCCCTCAACGAAAGGTAGGTATTTAAGCACGGTTAGTTTCGGGTAAAAGCCCCCCCCCACCCGAGTAAGTCTCCCGAAATAGCGGGCAAGGTAAAAATCGTGGCAAAGCTCACGAAGTGGCCGGGTAATGACATCTCCACGATCAATTAATCATTTCAATTTTAATTACACACGTTTTATCATGCGTTTATCGAGACGTTTGATAGCTCAATGGGGATTATCCTCCCTCAGCTGCTTTTCTCCTGAGAAGCGGTGAGTGGAAGGACACAGATTCGTACAGACGGAACGCGGGGGCGACTGCTCAGTCTCATTCACCGGCATTCGTTTTTAATTTCCTCTCGAGACCGTTATAGCAATTGCACGATTAAATTTAAACCGCGCGTGGCATTTCGCGTCCGTCCGCCTTTAACTTCCGCCGCCGGGACCGATTAACGTGATTTCGGGTGGATGACACAGCAGTTCGCTCACTGTCGCATGCGTCACATCAGTGGGTCAATAATGACAAATTGTTATTATTAACCCCTGGTCACATCAAGAGTTAACAATACCTCTGGGTATTATTAGCTCTCGGGTACATGCAGATGGTCCGTTTCGATACTAAAATGACGGTAAATACTTAAACGCGAATCGTATCTGCTAGCGAAGTCCCAAATGGCGACGTACTCTCTGTCGCCCAATAATTTGTGCTTATTTACTATAATTTCATTATTGAAAACGGCCCAAGTGTATGTGGCACACGATGCCGACAGCATGGCACGACCGACGAAGGTAAACCTACATCGCTGCAAGAGGTCATAGGGAGGCCTACCTACAGTAATGTACAGGGTAGGGAATCTCTTCTAGATAGTCATTTAACCCTACAGAGTAGAGAATGTCTCATAGCTACAGTAATGTAACCCTACAAACCACATGCAATACTAGCACAAATAGCATAATGAAAAAATAAAAATATTAAATACCACAATAATAATGATAACAACAGCAGCAACAGCAGCAGCAATAACAACGACAGCAGCAGCAGCAGCAGCGTAAAAACACCAGCTCTTGCAGCCAGGAACAAACACACGCGTGCATCGTGACAATAACAAGCAAGCGAGCCATCGAACAAACACGACACGCAGTGTCTTTCGCAAACAAAAACAGGAAACATAACTAGACACCTGGCGACTAGCTCTACCCTACGTTTCACGCGAGAGTAGCCCCACGCCGTGTGATAGTTCAACATGTTCTGCTTGTATCTATGACAAATACGACATACGCATAT